TCCCTACACTTCTTGACTCTATGCTCTTTCTAGTACAATCCAGTATGCAGTTGGCTTTGCTGGCACAAGGCTACACTGCTGATTCTCATTCAACCTCTTGTCTACCAGAACTCCCAGTTCTTTCTGCAGAGATGCTACACAGCCAGTCCATTCCCCACCCACGCTGAGACACTGGGTGATTTTTTCACAGATGCAAGACCTTGCACTTCTCTTTATAGATCTTTGAGAAGTTTCTGTCACCCGTTCCTTCAGTTTAAGGTTTCTCTAAATGTCAGCCCTGCCCCCAGAGTATCAGTCACTCCCCCTCCATTTAGTTTCATCCACAAACTTGATAATATGCTGTATCCCATGACCCAGATTGTTAATGATGATGTTAAACAATATCAGTCTGAGTATCCCTGAAGAATACCAGTCCTTACCACCATACTTAAAGTATCTTGCATGTTTGGGTAAGTATCTATTTCTGTTTTTCATAAAGTGCTTTAATGAATTATACTGTATGTTGATTACTTACAAGAGCTATACCACCACCTGAGCTGTGAGGCTCTTTCATTTACCATCTGCAAGAGAGAATAATTCCTCTCATGGAAAGTCACAGCTAACAAGAGACCAGAAATAAACAAATAGGAAGGTACAAGACTGATTGTGGTGGAGCTGCATTCTGCCAGGGTTTATTTTGGAAAAAAAACAACGAATCTGAATGAAATTGTTCCTAACATTAATCCTCCTGGAATCTGGAACCTGCCACGGGCCTGTTAGCCATAGCTCAGATCTCTCACAGGCGGACTGCTTACAGCAAAGTCTAGCATGGAAAGGATATCAGGCTTTTTGCCTTCCAATTTTTGACACCCAGAATATTTTAGTTAGTCTTAGTAGAGAATTTGACTTGTGCTGCTGGATAAGCTGTCTGGGTAAACAACTGTTTTAATGAAATGCACACAACAACTTCGCTAAAAAAAAAAAAAAAAAAAAATCTGTTTTTTCAGCTGGCTAGTTTAGGAAATGACTCAGAGTAACCCAGGCCAGGGAGAGAATTCTTTTAAAATGAGAACTGAGATTTTGAAGAATTTCATTTTTTAAATGAGAAACTACATGGAATCTTAAGATTAATTTATATGAATATGTTTCTGTTCTTAAAGCAACTAGGCTACCTGTTCGGAAGTACTTCTGTAAAATACTAGTCATCTTAATTTATCTATGACTTTTAGTCTATCAAAACCCAGTTCTTTCCTATTATTATTATTCTTCTTCCTGGGGTGAACTATAAGAAGTTATCTGTAATAGTATTTTTTTTCTAATATTTAATCACTTAGACTTCTACATGGTCAAATTTAAAAAGGGTTGCATGCAGAGAAAAATGAAATTTGGCAAGGTTTTATCCCTTTACAAGCTCCACAGGCTTATAATTTCTCTCTTGGCTTACTTTTGTTCCATGGAAATACTGAGAGATGGAAATAAATTTTGAATGACCCAGAAAAAGCAATATATTCTTTTTGTAGAGAGTGACTAACCAGAAAAAAGAAAAAACAGACATTCCAACTAAAAAAAAAAATACAAAAGAATTCAGCTCTGACAAATGGTTTGTCAGGTAGACACTAACAAGAGTTTCTAACAGGTTTCCATCAATAGCAGTCATGCCAGCTCTTGCCTTACTTAGAGCAGCTTATGTTTTGCTTTAAGTAACATACTAAATTCCATGCTGGATCAGGAGAAACCTGTGTTTTAAAGAGTAAAGCACATAAATCTTTTAAAAAAGCAATCTGCTATTGGGTGTCTTTGGAAATGAAAAGCACTGTATTTCTCATTTCAAGGAATTCCAACTCCTGCATTCCCAGAAAAAGGCAAGGCAGCAATTTTTGTCTTAAAACTATAGAGCAAAGCAGTATGAGAACTTGGGAGTAAAACATAGATACCCTAGCTCTAAACCAGTTAGTATAGACTCAATTTTCACAGTCATAATTTTGTCATACACTTTTACCATATACAAAATAAACCACAAAATAAATATATTTTATATTGTACAATTATGCTTACACACCAGAGATTTTTCTAACACGGCTACTGCAAGTAGTGGTCTGTTCCTTCCTTTCCCACCTATCCTGGCAAATGTAGGATGTAGCTCTTCATGAGCAAGATTATTCATAATCTTTTCATATAGGCTTCTGTACAGCCAGCACAGATGGATCAGTGAAGACACAAGCAGTGTCTTCTTTTTTCATCTGTTAAGCCAGATGAAAAAAAAAATGATGCAAATCTGGTGTCAATAAAACCACTTTCATTGTAATGGCATATTTGCTTAGGGAAACTTTGTAAACCAGCAAAAAACAGCGAACACATTTTCACCATTGCTGGTGTAGTAAAAATCTAAATCAAAGACAGTTTTAAGAAAAAGCAGATGTTGTTAACCCTACTAAATAAGCCACACTATAATGTTCATCCTGTCAACATGCTTAAAAGCCCATTTTGCTTATTTTTTTCCAGTAGTGGTGTTGTGTTGATGTTCTAGTGCTTTATTTAAAATATACGTATATAGTAAATTCTCTAAAGCTGGGACAGCTCACAGAAATTTTTTATTTCAGTTTTAGGAGAAGAATAGTGACTAAAAAACCAATGATAACATATTGTCATAGTAGTTAGCCTCAGGGTAGAAACACAAAACTTGGAAAAACAAACAGCACTCGAATGCGCTTCAGTTCTACTCTTATGTTTACTTACTTCATTGAAGTGAACATCTTGCATTCCAACATCCTCCATCATTGAAGCCTCTTCATCTATATTAGGTGTGATTACTCTGAAAGCAGTACAGCCTTGCCTAAACATCCCTATCATTGAAAAATAAAAATAGACAAATTTACTTTTCACCACCAGGATAACATTAGGCCATCTTGTGATGCTGGATAAGGCAGAAGCCATATTTAAATGTAATTACCACCAAATTAATTAAAAAAAAAAAGTCCAGCCTCCCACTGCATGATTAAAATACTAGAGCTCTCATTACTGCTTAAGTATAAATAGGCTTTAAAAACTCGCAAATGTTAATATCTGGACTCCTACCCACAAAATAAGCAGCGTCTGAATCTTCCTATTTTATCTTAAATCTATGTCTAATCAACCCCACCCCAAATCTAAGGTAATCAGGGTAACTTTTACAGTATTTAATGAAACTGGCGTATAGTCATGCTGAAACTGTCTACACGAACAGGCCCTGGCATATTAGCTTCCCCAACCTGAACAACATGAATGGACTGACATAAACAATACAAAATGGTCAGAGAATGGCAATACAGATTATTCAGCTGTAGATACAGAAAATCAGTCTACAAGCAAGAAGAAAATCCCAGCAATCTAACTTCCTTTGCTGAAATAAATATTTAGCAAAAATGGGTTTTCAAATGTTCTAACATGAAACTCTCTTACCCATTCTGTTTTATGATATCAAATTGCTGAATTAAGAAATCAGGATTTCTGGTCAATAACTGTATTAATTAAAGACTCAGGATCAACCAGTAAATACTATGGAAACACAATGACTTGCACATATTTATTTCACAGTTTATTCCTACAAAGATTCTTTCTGCTCATGAGGTTTTATTGAATGACTGCCTCAAGAGCATGGTTTTGTTTTCCTCCTGGCAATACCATAGGTAGAAGTTTGACCTTCTGTTCTACTGAGAGGAAGTAACTTACATACAACAGTACACAAAAATAGCAGATCACACAAAAAATCATAAATTAATATAAATTATCACTAGTTATCAGTTAGTTGTTATCAGCCTTGCAATAGGACATAGTATCTTTCAATCAACTTAGTTTCAGATTTGGTCTCAGAGAAGCTTTTGAAATATTGGTGCAGAGGGGATGGCCTATACACTACACAAGTATTGGGCAAAAGGCACAAAAGGAACAAAAGTAAAGGCACCTTGTAGAGCCATGACTTCGCTTCCTTTTGAACTGTCATGCAAAGGCAAAGCTAAAAAGCTGCAAACACGAATTTGCCTGCCCACAAAAACAAAACACTAGCTCAATATCATAATCAGTCTTAAGACATTTCTGGAATTCTCTTCTAGAGATCTATTTTTCTTAATAAAAGCCATATAATCTTCTGTTTTCTCAAATCCCTGAGAACTCCTCTGCTCCTATAGATGAAAGACAGTTTTCTACCCTATCACAAGGGAGCAGACAGCTGCTAGCACAGAATACCAAGAAAGATGAAGCATTCTGAGCACTATTATAATCACTGACACAGCATCTGAAAATTTGTATGAATTTATTTTGACTTTTCTGGCAATGCAAGGTTTACCTATACACAGTGAGAGACTACTTGCTGAACGAGAATATTCACTGATAAGTTTGCTTTAGCTATTAGCAGCTCTTGTGTAAAATTAAAATTTTTACTTTCCTAAAAATTTTACTTTACCTTCACCTGAAATGCTGCCCCTTAGATATGCAAGTATGTTCCTAAATATGCGAGTATGCTATCCGGTTAGGTCAGAATTTTTTCCTTGGAGAACACTGAAATGCCTACAACTTCCTCGGGGAAACTACTGTTTTTCCTTAATGTTTATGATTTTTCATTATAGTTTAAGTAAGATTTCAAAATCATACCTTTTCGTGTGAGATATTCTGCAACCAGTGCTGCTACATGGACATAGCACATTGCTGCCTGAAACAGAAATAGTAACAATCTTATAAATTACAATTATAATGGAACCACTAAAACCAAGGTGTATAAGAAGAGCCCTAGCCTGAGATAATTTCTTTGGTTTTCCTTTTTGGTGCTTTGCAGGAGATGTCTTATGACTGGTGTAAGAAATCTCCACCTCATTTATGCAGAACTGTGCAAGAGTACTCCTTTTTCACCAGAGCATTGAGCAGCATGGACAGCAGTACACCATCTGAGAGTGACCACAGATCACAAATTACAAGGTAAGGATGCCATGATAAAATAAACACACAAATCTCTTTTTGGGATGTATTTTAAGTGTTACCTGGAAAAAAAGAATCTATTAATTATTCTACTCAACATTTGATGGTTCTTCTGCTAACCCATTTTGTCTGCCTTTTGGTTCCAGACCAAGAAAAATGTGGAAAAAATTGGTGACAGACCATTTGAAAGCAGCAAAAGAGGAGAGATCTGACCTATGAATGGAATCGGAAGGAAATTGGTCAGTGTAGTCTGGAAAACAGAAGAAAAAGAAAAGGGACTGAATAGTCTTCAAATACTTGAGATGTTTTATGAAGTTGGCACTGATCACTTTTCTTCACAGAAAGGACAAAAAAAAGACTCAAGATTCTTCTTTTTCTAAAAAGGTTTAGGTTCATAGTGAAGTGTTAATTCTCACTGTAATTCGCAATTAAACAGTTTACATGTGCAGGCTGCAGAATCTCAGATGCTGGAGTTGAAGGAAAAAGGCACATATCTGTCAGAAATTCTCTCTAATTCATACTTTGTAGGGGGTTGGGCTTGGTGCTTTACAGAGGTCCTCATCTGGCCGTATAGTCAAAAGATTCTAAGTTTTTAATCAAAAAACTAAAAACAGACCTGAAATGGACTAAAAGACTTGTCTTCTCTGAGAGCTGAAGTTACTCAAAATATAAGCTAACAACAGAGTATTGTACATGTCTTCTGCATGATAACATACAGAAAAAAATAATTCTAGTACTAAGACATGAGTAAGTTAAAATAGCAGCTACTATTTCTCAGAGATATTTGCTTGCTTACATGATGCTAAGTTTAACAGACATATTTATGAAATTCAATGATGTGATACAATGTGATCATTACATCAAGACATAAAAATCCCCATCCCCAATTCTCCCTTTTGCTAGAATTAACTATTTTAACAGCACAGTTAAATTCGATAGCTTTCTTTTTCCAAACAAACAAAACATTGCAATTTGTCAATTTTAAGAACATTAGCAGTTTTTTAACAATCAGTCTGCAATAGAATCAAGCTAATTCTGTAAAGGCAACTCAGAAGGAATTCAAGGAGTGACTTTTTAAGTGTTTTAGCAACTGATAAAGGTATTTTTAAGTAGGTGGTCTGTGTCTTCCATGGTTTGCATTGAGCATTCCTGGCTCAGTATTGTGTCAGCTACAGTAGATAAATATATATCTCACATTAGTAATAAGAAATGATTTAGATATGTACTTGGGTAGCACAAAAAACTTACTAGCCATTGAAACTCATCTACTAACAGTTCAAAATGTATTAAAAATGCTTATTATATTACAGACTAACAACTACATATAGTACATTCCATTTCAAGAAAGATAAACTTAAGCTTATTAAGAAGTTAAAACTAGTTTTACCTCTGAAAGGTCTCCATTTTTAACATGGATCCTTGCCATGCTGTCTAACCACGTCTTCCTTAGTTCAGGTGTACTAGCATAAGACTTTGCCAAACTATACTGGAGGTCTACAAGCATTTCTGGATCATTCTCATGCTCCTTCATTTGAGCTGTAGCCATCAGTACTGTACGAATCCGTTTTGTTAAATCCTTAACATCCGAAGGGAATGTAGTGTGCTAAAACATAGAAAAGTTCGGTTAACTACTATCTTTTTCTATTATTTGAATAATAAAAAGTTGAAACATAATTGCAAAAGATGCTATGAAAGAGTTTTCAAGCATCCTTCTACAGTATGTAAAAAAGAATAAAAGCAGACCTTTATAATTCTGTCGTTATTGGCACAATTATTGATGATGGAAAGAGACTGCTGAAATCTAGTTCCTCCAATTCCAACAACATCAGCAATTAACTGGCTTACTGAAATAATAACCTTGACAGAAACAAATGTCTTGTTAGGATATGTTTCACGAAATACCCTTGACACGTACATATGAAGCAATTACAAAGAAAGTTTTGTTCTTTTTAACTGAAATATTATTCCTCTAAATAAAATTATATTTGATTTTATTTTCAAAGTCACTTTTAAACAACACAGGCAAGAAAAAACAGGCCTGTGTAAATTTAATGCACACACATCCTCTGCTCTAAAGACTTACTGAAAGGTGAACTAGCCAGAGGTCATAAAAGTAGTAAACTATTGTTCACAGCTTTGTCAGAAAACAAAATGTCTATGTATTTTTTTTAATTTTAGACTTTTATGTGCTTGTTGCTGCATTCTTTTCTTATTCAGATGCAACAGGGTATGCCGCTTAACAATCAAAATTAACATCTACAGAACATTTGCTACTGACATCCAATTGTTTCTAAGTATTTCCTTCTACTGAATATACTTTTATTGCCATCTTGTAACTCTTAGAACAGTACCAACCTTGCTTGAACCCAAAATAATTCGTTTTATGTCTTATCTGACAGAGCTTTGCACACTGGTATGCAACTGTGCATATGGAAATACAATATTTAAAAAGCAAAAAATAGAGAAAGTATACTAACTTGCAGATGAGTCCTAACAAAAGACTTCTTTCCTGTGTAATCAAAATTATTTCTCATTAAGAAGTACAATAACTGTGAAGCTTCAGTACGGATTGAACTCAGTTTGGAATTACAATACTTCAGAATTTCATAGCACAGTGCAGAACACATATCAGCTCTACCTTCATAAAATGTAGAAGGAAACTGAGGAAAAAGTAGAAAAGAAGTAAGTTATTCATTAAAACTAGCTTCAGTTCTTGATAAAATAAGCATGTCAAGAAAAATACAAATACATTAATATACTCAAACAGTGGAAAAAATAAGACAGTCATGGTAGTTCATGACACAAAACAGTTTTTACAGCAATTCAAAAGACAAGTATTCCACACCGTTGGGATCAGATCAGTCCTTATTAATCTATTTTAATTTGTGATTTTAGTTCTGAAATTTTTACATAGTATATTGTTAACTGAAGAACTGGGTAAGTACTTGAAGATTAATTATTTTTAAACTTCTTACCTTAAAAATAAGTGCCCTTAAGGCAATGAAGACATTTTTCAATGCTGTTTCAGACTGATTCTTTTGAAGGAAGCAGAGGTATACATCAAATACTTTCTTCATCAGTGGATTATGCCCATGATCAGTTAGTAGTTGATTCTTTAAATTGATAGTGAGAATTTAGGAGTTTTGTACAGTGACACATTTATACAATTCTAAGAACATACACAGATCATCAAAAGCAGGAAATTAAAAAAAAACGTAGTCTGCATAGTATTACCAAGATGTTTAATAATACACACATCTGAATTTTAATTAGATACTTCTAACATGTCATTAATCTTGATGATAAAGAAAGTGTTGGCTTCTGAATAGACTTGTAGAATACAATTGTTTCTAACAGCTGTCAATTAAACCAATTACTATTAACAGTTCATTGAGAGGCAAAGTCAAAGTATTAACACATTTTGGTTACACTGCCCTTAGCAGCTCAGACAGTGGAATTTTCTCATAGCAATAACTCTTAAGAATGCTCTCAAAAAAAAACCCCCCACAAACCAAACCCTCACCCATTCACCATATTTCATTACCGTCTTAGAACTGAAACTAAAAGGGCTCTTAAGGACAAAGATACTAGCTACTTTTCAAAGTTTTACCTGCATAAATGTTCCAAAACTCATTCTGAGGCATGCAATACACAGGGTTACTCTTGATTTCTGTAACACCAATAGCTGCCTTAAATGTGGTGTTCTCCAACTTCTCTAGCACACGTACATCTACTTTTAAAAGCTCATATTGCTCCTGTTTTGCTCTGGGGACCTGCTTAGGTGGTTCACTAAAACCACCTGGAGTGGTAGGAATTCACACAGGACCAGTTAAAATTCTACCAAGAAGCAGACATAACTTGTGATTTCCCTGCTGTCAGGTAAGAGAGATCTGGATACCCACTAGTCAAAGATGATCTTGAGGAAAAAAAGCTGTCTGGCCTTTTATATAGTATGCTAATTATTCCCAAAAGTTAGTATTACAAATCCGGTGGCCTTCTATGATGGAAAGACTGCATCAGTGGACAAGGGAAGAGCTATGGATATCATCTATCTGGACTTCTGTAAAGCATTTGATATGGTTCCCCACAACATTCTTGCCACTAAATTAGAAACACATGCATTTGACAGATGGGCTGTTAGAAGGAAGGAACTGGCTGGATGGCTGTGTCCAAAGAGTTGCACTCAACGGCTCAATGTCCAAGTGGAAACCAGTAATGAGAGGTGTCCCTCAAGGGTCTATATTGGGACCAGTACTACTGAAGATTTTCATCAGTGACATAGGTAGTGGGATTGAGTGCACCCTCAGCAAGTTTGCAGACAACACCACGCTGAGTGGTGCAGTTGATTTGCTACAGGTTCCCTGTAGCAAGGCATCCAGAGGGACCTTGACAGATGTGAGAAGTGGGCCCATGTGAACCTCATGAATTTCAACAAAGCCAAGTGCAAGATCCTCCACCTGGGCTGGGGCAATGTCCAGTATCAATATAAACTGGGGGATGAAGGGATTGAGAGCAGCTGTCTGCAGAAGGACTTGGGGGTATTGGTAGATGAAAAATTGGACACGAGCCAGCAATGTGCGCTTGCAGCCCAGAAAGCTAATTGCATCCTGGACTGCACAATAATAATGAGACCTCACTGCGGCATTTCAATATATAAAGGGTGCTTACACAAAAGATGGTGAGAGACTTTTTATTAAGGCTTGTGACTGCACAAGGGGCAACAATTTTAAAACTGAAATAAGGTAGGGTCAGATTGGACATAAGGAGAAATTTTTTTAACAATGAGGGTGGTGAGACGCTGGAACAGGTTGCCCAGGGAAGTTGTGTATGCTTCATCACTGGAAGTTTTCAAGGTCAGGTTGATGGGGTTTTGAGCAACCTGATCTAGTAAAAAATTTCCCTGCCCATGGCAGGAGGGTTGGACTAGATGATCTTTCAAGGTCCCTTCCAACCGAAACCATCTTATGATTCTATGATTTTATGTATTTCAGTGCAGCTGATTGCATAGAAGCTCCTAATTCTCCTACCTTTTTTGTTTGGATCTTGTAGACTATTCTGGTATACTCTTACCTACTTTCTCAACATACTACATTACAGATAACCTTGAAGGCCTGTCATTTCAAGCATGACGAGCAGCTGGCAACTAAAAGATTAGTGTTCATTCTTTAAATGTTTAAAACTAGGTAACTTCATTTTCAAGTCTCTCATGAAGTCTGTGGACAGAACTGTCTCTAAACTAATTAAATTACTAATAAAAGCAATCTCATTATAAATAAGTTCACGTTTTCATAGCTAAAGAGAAGACAATCTGAATCTTCAAGCAAGGGTCTTGATGTGTTGCTCTAATTCGGGGAGAAACAAGCTAGACCTATTATCTCTCCTTTTCATAGATTCACCTTTACTGTTTGGAAAAGGTCAAAAAAACAAACAGGAGGGGTACAAAATTGGCTGTGCTATTAAAAAATTCCACAGGAGAGCTACAGTAACTGATACAACTAAGAAGTCTTATTAGCAGACAAATTGAAATAAAGTTACAGAAAAGGAACACACACAAATTACTGTTAATTAATGAGAAGAAGCCAAGTTCAATATAGAAGTCCAATAGGGTCCAATTATGAATTATGGTTTTGCCATACAATAGATCTTTCACCCCACTTGGCCTTTAAAAGACAGCTTTACCACTAATATTAGGTAGACACTAAAGCTTCTAGAAACATTTTTAGAAAATTAGGATGAGGAAGGAGCTTTTCCCACAGATTACTGCTGATCAGTAATGAGCCTGTGTGCAATATGTAACTGAAGCCAAAGCATTTTGCTGTGAGAGGTTATCAGCTTTTACTGTACACAGTAATGAAATACAACACTAGAAATGCTAAAAATACAATGCTGTATTACTGGACTATAAAATATAAAAATAACTTTTAAAATATTTATTTTCCTGAAAGGTAATTATGGGCCATATTAACACCAAGTCAAGAACAAACCTTAAAAGCCATTGTGAATAATGATAGAGTATCCAGAATTGTAAGGCAAACTTCCGTGGCAATATTTGCTTCAAGTAAAGACTGGTGAAGAACATCTGCATCTGAATGGCCATAGCCTACAGAAATTCCAAATGAAGTCTAAGTGCTGGATATACTCATTTAAATGTTTCTTATTTACAAAAGACTTGCTGAAGTAGGAAAAGATAAAAGTCTGACAGAAGTTAATATTGAATACAGGAAAATAATTCATATGTATTTAAATATTTTTCAAATATGTGCATACAATTATTCTAACATAATTTGTACAAGATCATAAAATGTATTAAGTACAAATGTCAACAACAGAAGCATTAAACAGCAAATATTAAAACAAACATCTGATACTTCATACATATGTGTTTGTATGTATACACACATGTATATCTATATATAAATGTACAGTTATATATATATGCACGCATTATTCTTAAAATAAGTACCGCAGTAGGATGGAGTTACAGCTGAAAATACATATTGGTAATTTAGTGATGTTATGATGATCTCAAAGTTAATCATAAGTCAACCATTATAAAAATACAAAACACTTAGAGTAAAAGGAATACAATCATCTACTTATATGCAGCTGAAGACCCAAGTAATTAATTCTGTTCTGTAGCAATACCATGCAATAACTCCATATTTAATCAAAATATTTATCGCTTCTAGCTCCATACTGTATTTAAATAGTTTAAAAACATATCCTGCTTCCACACTGACTATAATATGTTGTTTAAGTTCCTTAACATTGGTCTTTAAGAAGCAGATTGACAAATGTGCCCTTGTTGCTTTATAAAAATTTGATCTGGATCATGTTTATATGTTAGATTTACAGTCAACATCACTGAATCAGTGACAAGCAGAACAAACTTGTTGAGACCAAGAAAAGAACAGAAGAAATGATATATTCTTTTATAATGACACCTGGCCACTTCTTTCTGCACCTTCTTCCTTCCCTGGCTGCACTATGCATGCATACCCATAACTACCAGTTTCATTGGATATATTTATTCTTTCTGTTAGGAAGTTTACACCTCTTTCCTATCATATTTTGCATTCTCTCTGCCTCCACTTCTTCCTCCTCCCATGTATCTTCTTTGCAGTTTCAATCCAACTACATCCTCTACCTCTGTAACGACAGAAAGGAACAACTGGCATTTGGAAGCAAGTTTTAACACAGTAGTCGTTTGCCAAATATTTTTATTTCAGTAAAAGTGTTATTTTCCTTAAAGAAATTAAAAGGAAAATCCTTTTTCATAGCAATCACCTTTGGGTGACCAGAAATACTCAAGTTAGCCTGTGGTTTTGGTAATGTCGAAGATACCAAGAGATGACGACTATTTTGAGAACTGCATTGAGGACAGGGGAAATATTCTTTAAATAAATAATTTTTTTGCTCTTCCATACAAGAAGAAAAGTGCAAGGTTTATTATAAATCCTAAGTAAAAACTGTAGTCAATGGACAGGATTCCAAACAGTTCAAAGTTTGTTCTTTGCATAAATAATTTAGAACAAACTAATAAATAGGTCATTGATCGATTACTCCACATTGTTACTAGAGGCAGAAGTTTCGGGCGGGGTGTAAACTTAAAGGAACACTCAATTTGGTTGGGTTGAAAGACTGATTTAGCAGAGCTTCTTCCATATACATGCCAAAAACTATCCTTATTTCAATTTTCTATTGTTTTAGAAAAGCTAATATTATATTCTTCATATATAACTAACATACTTAATCCTATTTTTCTCATGTAACTTAAAAAGAAACTACGGAACTAAAATTACCACATATAATGTGAACATCTGTCTGCTCATGCACATGAACATGCACCCATAAATTCACTGCAGAGTACCTGGACTAAAAACCATCTAAGAACATTGAAAATGGGATAAACTTGGATGACTATGAGCTTGACAATGATCATATACTGCTATTGCAGATGATGGTATATGTCTTGTATTTCAGTACATTTCCATGTCACTATTCTGCTGAGCGTTCTCCTCTCCTCCAGCCCAAACAACATACACATAAAACTACATTTTTGTAGTTTGTATTAAGATGCTTTAGAAATTCTAACAAAGGGCCAAATTTATTTCAAGCACAAAACTATACTGAAATTCCTCAGAGATGTGAAATATCACTTATACCATTACTTCAGTTTTATTTCTTGCTTAAATTATTAGAAAGGGAGAAATTAACTTTATAATTTACATTTCTAGACAACTATCTTGCCAAAGAATCACAGTTTTAGAAACAAGTAAAGCAACTATTTCCACCAGATACATCCTTCCTGTATGTATCCCATACAGGAGACCTACAAGATATATTCAAGTTCTGAAAACTACTTTGGATACGTAATACTGGCAAACCGACAACTAAACACAACTAAAAGTTAGACAACAAACATGGCCACAGATATAAAAATCAATTTCAGATTTGACATGGCTTTTACAGCAAAATATTTTCACTTTGTAAAACCTTGGTGAATACAAGGTGTAATATCCTGACATTCATTAAATGTCCAACATTTAAAAAACCCCTTTTATCACTTTACACAAGGTTATCTGAATGAGACATCTTCCTTCATAATTTCCTTCAGATGGAAAAGAACAAAAAGTGTCTTTTTACATAGGCATGCATCTATTAAAATCTTTCAGCTCACTGTTTCCTAAAAATCAGTAAACACTGCCAGGTTCTGGAAATATGAAATCTCTCTGCACAGGGCCCAGAAAGCGAAATGTTATTTATTTCCCAGAGATTTTTTTTTTGTCTACAAAGTATTTTACCTTACTGAAGGCATAGTCACATACTGTAAAAGCTCTTTATTTTGTATATCAAAAACATCTAGAAACGCAGACTGATTACAAGAAAAACCCCTTAATTTGGACGGCTATATAGTTTTCTGATGTTTTAAAAATCAAATAATTGTATTTCTTTTAACAGGCATGAGAATGCATTTGTCAACAGAGAGGTTTGTCAGTAAGTCTTGTCTCATTAGGCTAACTGTTGCTTTATTTTACAGATAATGAGCTAAAAGATTCTAAGTGACAGTTAGATACGCTTTGGGAAATAAAAGGATGAACACAGTGAACAAAGTTAAATAATTGCTTTACTGCACACAGTTCTTTTCGGTAACAGTGTTCTATTTTACTGGATTAGTCAACCAGTTTCATTGTTTTTTGAAGCTGAAAGTTGAAAAATGGTGCTTCAGAATATTTTACATACAGCATATTTTGCAATTTAAGAGCAGCATGTTTAAAAAGATAGGCCACAAGCAGATTTAGTTTTTAATACAGCAGTCTTATACAAGCTGACTTCAACCTGATTAAATCTTACCATTGTCTACAGAAATTCCAAGAATACTTGATATCTTTCTCACACTGAAAACAGAAAAATCACTTCATTATTGGACGCTTTTTCACTTCCAGACAAACCAAATCATGGGCTTCATAATCTCCGCAGAAATTCTAAGAAATTTATTTCTCCTTAGGGGATGTCAAAACATGGAGATACGGTCAGAGCGCACATTTTTACTTCTCAACTACTCATTCGTAAGACCAAGTAGAGAAAAAAAAATTAAGCTTAATAAAGCAAATAGAAAAGATAAGTAAATTTTGTAACTAAGTGCAGCACAAAGTTGAAGTGTACACAACAACAAAAAAAATTAAGATACAATTTTAAAATACGCTGCAGTTAACCATGCTCCATGTTATGGCATCAGCCAGCATTGATTGTTCTATCATAAAGCAGGGAACAGACAGACCGTCAACTGATTCCACTTACTCATTTGACCTAGAACAATAGAAGTCATGGAAATGCACTGGTGTGGCTCTGGGACCTGTCTCTGGTGCTGTGGTACTGGTTGAGAATGATGAATGTTATCATGTCATGAGACTTACTGTGGTTAAAAGTGAGAGAGTTATCCAGGCTGCTCAGCTGCTGCAATCTGGCATGCATCATTCCTGTTCTGTTACGGGAAACAGGCAATGTCTGAGATTTTCGATCATGAACTATGGATCCCAACCCCTCCTGGTTCCTGCAAGATGGGTGAAATGGGATAGAAGCAAAAGTTAGACATGTCAAACTGCAGCAAGACAGGAAGTGTTAGTTGAGCATGAGAAGTTTTATAGAAAGAATTATAATGCAACCTATTTAATGTTTTATTTATAAAACAAAAATAGGTAGCTTTAAAAAAGCATCACAGCAAACTCTTTCTTAAAACCTCAAAGCATGAAAGCAAAAGCACACAAGGAGTTGCTCTTGACGTGCTAAATTTACTTCAGAGCTTTTGAAAACAAATATTTGAGAACATAAATATTCTGAAAATATTCAGAACCCAAAACCAATTCCTCTGATTGCAAAAATTTAAAAAAAAATTTAGAAGGACACAGAGTAGTAAAATTAGAAAGCAGACATGCAACAGGAGAGCAGGAATTAACTGAGGTGTTATCATGTACATCTTACCCAAGCAGGAAGGGAGAAGAGCCATATACTTTGTTAAACTTGCAGCAATCAAGTAAAGAAAACAGAAAAGTGATCTGTGTTAGCAATCAGTACAGGCTAACTTCCTATTTTGTACCACCACCAGAGCTGATGAAAAATGAAAACCAGTGCTTGAATTACAGTATTCCCTCTTCCCCTTCATTCTCTGTCATTTGTGTATTTTAAAAATACGTGCATTGATTGTAATCTACGCCAGTGCAATGACAATGTGAAAGACCAGAAAGCTACAATTACTGGGAAAATTCAAGGTCTTTGCAAAACACCAGATGATTTCCATAGCTTAACGTTTTTAGAATTAACATGCAGTACACAGACTAGGTGATCAGTAAAAAAAAAAGGAAGTGTGGTAGTCTTCTCTACAAGCTAGTCAAACATATTAGTTTGAAGAATTTTTACAAAAAGCCTGAAAATTATAGACTCCTGTAAATCCAGAGTTTGAAGTACATTTAAACACAATCAAAACCTTAAGAAAGTCAGATTTATTTTGGGCTTGGGTTTTTTTTTAGAGTATATGAATAGAGATGGGATTTTTTTTCCAGAAAATCTCCAAGGAGATAGACAAGTTTGGTTTTTTGCAGAAAGAGATTCACATACCATTAAATCTAAATTAAAAACAAAAAAGCTAACATTTTAGTTAGAACGCTTTAACACCCAAAGTCAGCAACCACTTTCTCACTGAGTTCAAGAGGGCCAATATTTCAACCCCACAAGTTTAATTACAACAGCATTACTATGTCAACCACAGTGTAAGGTCTAAACAAGTTGCTGTATTTTACTCTATTCAAAAACTACTTCACCTTAAAAACCACATTAATGCAAAGTTATTCAAATAATTTAATACATGTTTCTGACTCCCACAGATTTTCTCCTAAACAGCCTTAAATGGAAACATACAGGTATCTAACGGTACTTCGAACTTCAAATTGAAAACCAGCAGCATTGGAATGTTCACGACTCACCTTTCGGTAAAAACACTATACATAAAATTTCTAAAATATTTCAACAGACATGGTTTTATGGCCAAGTGAATAAACAAAACAATAAAGTAATAACATTTCTTCCCCAAAGACATTATTTCAAGAAAAAAAATGCTGTGAAAGATAGTATTTAAGGGGTGGATTTTAAAGTAACTGATAATAAACACAACACACACACACATCATTCTCAAACAGATAGCAGACTTTCAGACAGGATACAGATTTGTTAATATAGTAACCAGTTACTTACTTCAAACTGTTATGTATCATTTCACAACAATTCATGCAATTTATTTGTAATAGAGATTCAAGGCATATTGTACACACTATTATTCTTAGTAAACATGACAGTGAAATTTAAATTCCACACAGTACCTGGCTATGTATCGTTTTCCCATGTACTGGAACTGATGTAAGCATACTCTGCAGAGAACACAAGTCAGAGAAGCAATACTTGAAACAATCTCTTTGAGATTTATGTACATTGGAATTATTCAACTATTATTTTTGTTTAAACTCTTAAATCATAAAACTTCTTTATTGCTCCTACTCTCAAAATTACCTTCCAGTCCCCGTGAGGGGGAAATGAGGCTCACAGTTACAGTTATTTACAAATAAACAGCAAGCCAGGACATGTAACATGAAGGACTGAAACAAAGCCATAACCAGACACTACATATATACACGTATTTTGCAAAATTTGTACAAGGGTTCCAAATAAGGACAATACATTTTGCATTTTTTCCCCTTGGCCTAAACTCTTGGTTACAGGCTGGGAATCTGCTTCCTCCAAAAAATTTTTTAATTTAAAAAAATAATTAAAATATAACATGATATTGAAGAAGAGAGTTGTAATACTACTGATTCAGATCCAGTAAGAAAGTTGAAAGTATAACCTAATTTGCCAGGTGCCTTTGCTTGCCTTCACAAGTGGTAACACTGATGACTAATAAACTAGAAGTCACACTTTCAACTCAAGAAAAATCACGTGAATGGAGGCTGTAATATCGATTTTATTTGACTATTTTCCCAATAGAATTATCCCGATAACTGAGAACACTTAATACAACTTCCCTTGTTCCTCAGGTCAGAATATTCTAAAAATATGAGAGCCAGTTTTCAGGCTTTCTCTCCCATGTGCCAGTTGTGAATGAGGCATAGGACTGGCAAATAGTCTCTTCAACTCAGCTCTAGTTTGTACTTGGACGTGAAGCAGATTAGCTGTTTCCAAACTGTGGAGTCAGAATGGTGTTTGCTTCTCTCAAACTTGTCACTCTATTTGCAAACTAACCGCAACTCCACTTTCTGATGTCTTCTTGTCTTTTTTAGGTTAAGTTTTTTAGAAAAAGTTCTTTGCATGGCGAGTACCTACCTACCAGAAACACTGTCTTACTGAGATAATGAGAAACTACTGTAATGACCTGTATCAATAAAAATCATCAACAACATTAACATTATTTGCACTGGCAAAATACTCCTAGAATTGGAAGAGGTGGACTTTTATGAGCCTTGTTGCTGCTCTAGTTTAGGGAGCTGTGATATCATCCAATACACTAACGAGATATAAATTTTATTATGTATTCCATATACTGCTATTGTGATGGAAATTTTCTTTGATAAGTAGTAATTTGAGATTACTGATTACAAACTAAGCATATCCAGTCCTTGAATAAGAAGTATCCAATGGCAAAATACTGTTCACCACTGATTCTGTACAGTTTACACCGCAGGCTTCAGAGAGTCTACTAAGTAGTCTTCTTTACTTGTTCAGTTCTGTCTCTAGTATAATCAGTATCATGCCAGAAGTACTCAAACAGTGAGTTAAAACACTACCTACAATATATTCCTGAAATAGACCTTGAGTAGCACATTCCATAACACAATTAACAACTGATATTACATTGATTGAGCCTCTACTACAGACACAAAGAAAAGCAGCCCAGGGAAACAAGCAAGGCAAGCAGAAAGGGTTCTGTGGCACACCACTTCAAGAGAACAGTGCCTCCTTCACTTTCTATTAATGCATCAGTCAATTCTCGTGAACAAACACACTAAGTGTGCATAGGGATGGAGTGCAGTCATGGATAATAAATACTGGATTCATCCTATGTATTTCCCCTACCAGAATGGCTAAAGACACAAGAGGAATGCTAGGAGAATGGTTCATACCCCTTTGTTTCTGAAGTTATGCAATTCAATCAATTTTGATACACAACCACATAATTTCAGCAGTTCACCTTACAAGATGCATTTTAATGCAGACAGGTAACAACACAGTTGGTTCCTCTTCCCTGAGCATAGCAATATTCTGAGCACTACTCACAGTTTAGGAACTTCCTGAGATCACTTCTGTATAGTCTAATTCCGGAAACTACAATGGAATTGGCCAGACATGCAATTACGCACATCAAGTTAAGGACTTCTAAACAGACCAAGATGGCACTATTGTTTCAAACAAATAAATAAATACACACTTACATCCACACTAATGTTTTTAACATGGTTTTATGACAAGGTCAAAAAAAAAATCTTACTCTGTAATCGTGAAAAAGTCCATGAGTTCAGATTTTGTAGCCTTGTTCCAATACGTAAACAATGCATCTAGGAAAATGAAAAACATTAAAAACAAGACAAAGGCAGCAAACACACAAACATATTAAGTAGAAGACTTAACATCAGTTCTTAGTTTTCAAATAATGAGGATTCAGAGAATCTAAAAATAGCTTGTGAGGTACATATAACTATTACTGCTTAAAGTTTTCCTTGAAGCTGATTATACTAACACACATATTAATTCTCCAAATGAGTTTCTGCAATACGCTTTTAATTAATCCATAATATTCCCATACAATTTAGTATTTTAAATAGTAATAGTTGTGTAGTCAGTAGTGACTACCTTGTTCTAAAAATATAAGACTTCAGAATACTTTGGACTGTTAGTCCTATAACCTGTTTCTTTACAGATTGGTCTCAACATTTCTTAAATTCAAATTTATGATTTATTCTTTTTTTTCATTTACAGTGCTTTACTATGGATAGTTTTTAGCACAGGTTTCAGATTTTATTTATTTGTACAGGTATCAAAAATGGCTATATATTTTTTTTCACAAAGCTAGTAGTTATGTAGCCAAAACCAGGTCTGTTTTGCCAAAAACGTTAAGGATTAGCTAACTAATTCAAAATTATTACAAAGACGTGTGGCAAAGTTTGTCTGATGCTTGTTCTTTTCCAGGAGAATTGAGACAAAAAAGTCCCCACTTCACTTATGGAAACTTTGGATTTCCTACAAATTATGACAAATTTTTACTTATTTCAAAGCGTAACATTGTGAAAAAGATATTTTTGAGTTTTACTCTTCTTTGTAATTAAAAAACATAAAATAATTTTGATATAATAACATGAAAATCTAATGGCGTGACCGGATATCAAATTCTTACTAGTCTTTCAACTCTCATTCTTGATTAAGTGCTGTAATAAACTAGAATTCAAATACTACATAAACGTGATTTTTAGAATTAACACCAAAATAGGCACAGAAAATAAATTAACTACTTTTGATACGGTTAGCACAAACTGAAAAATTGAATGTTTTTACCACAAGGGATTTTTAAAAATACTGATCAATGATAGGGATGATTCCGAGTTGTATGATCCTAGTTAAAAAAAAAAGAAAAAAAAAGAAAAAAAAAAAAAAGATTTGCCATTCATGCAGTATTGCTATACCTCCACAACCTTCTTGAGGATAACATGACTCTTTCAAAAATTCAGTGGATCATGTCACAAACATCCCAGGAAAAATGAAGAAGTACTACTATCTCCATTCCAGAACTGGAAATAGACACAGTGATCAAATAATCTGGTTCCCTGTCATACACAAAGTTCTGCAGAATGGAGGAATGGACTAGCCTGAGACTCTTCTGCTGATTAATGAACAATTCTTCACCTCCATTTTCCAAACTGGACTGTACAGTCACACACAGATATTCGCTTTCTTACCAGGTCCTTTAGTTACACTCATACTTTGAGGCAATAATGAGTATTTAATGCTTGCAAGGTTCCAGTCAGAGTCTAATCTGATCAATCACACATATTTGTAAAACACAGCTCGACATGGTACCGACACCTAATATATTCTGCTGACTTTGAAAAGGTATTAAGATCGGAGGCATAAATCCAACACATGATCTTGAATTTATGAAAAATGCATGCAATTACCTACCTTCTGACATACTTCTCAGAATATGAAGGAAACACATGAGCAGACTTTTGATCTCTGCTTGGTCAAGTTTGTCATATCGAACTACAGAACTTGCTAAAGTGCTGCTCTGTTGGTTCTGAAAAGAAAACAGACATATTTTGGTTTCTTACACTGATAGTAAACTGAGAAATTGCCTTATTAATTCCTGCAACAGAAAAAGGACCTCATAACTGAGACAAAAATGTTTCATGTAGAGACAGGTCACTAAAACACACATTACACACATGAAGTATACCAAATTAAGCCTCTTTACCTTTGTTTATTTTTATTTCTTTCTTTGTATTATTTTTCCCCTCCGAGGGAGAAGTAAGAGGAAAAGTTACCTAAGAGTGATTTTTAATCAAGTCAATTATACATAGATACATTGTGGAAATCAGGCATGTCCCTTCTGTTGAGATGAAATACTTCAAAAATAAATGCTACTGTTATGTAATACATATATGCTCCTTTGCTTTTGAAGAGACTTTATGCTAAACTGTAGACAGACCTGCCTCTGTGAAATTCCTTCCATTTAGATATAAGAACCTCAAGGAAAACATACATGAATGGCAATAACGTGCATTCTGGAAGATTACCTACTGATAAGTAACTTGCCCCTGCCTCAAAACCCCCCCCAAAAAAAACCAAAACAATGAACAAACCAAAACAAAAACCAAAAAACTTTCTGCTTTATTTGTTTATAGAATTCCTACACTCGTGGGAAGTTAATCTGCAATGTTCAATTCTAAAGTCTGTCCAAAAAGAAAAAAAATCCCATAAATGATCCTTCAAAATGTGTACCACAAAAAAGGAAAAAATAAAACAGTGAGAATATATAAACTGATATGTAGGCAAAGGCATTTCTGTAAAAGAAGAATTTCCACACAATCAAGTGTTACCAAATCCTTAGTCTGATGCCTCTACAGATATGCTATATAAATATTTGTTTAGAGGATAAATAATGCCTTTTCTAGTGCCTAATTCTCACTTCCAACATGAGGCCATTTACGTGAATGGAAAATGAACCAGACATTAAATAAGTTTTCTGTAAAATCAACAGTCTGGTTCAATTCACCTGTGCAACTTTCTGATTTCTACAAGGAAATTGGATCGTCTTGTCTCCAAGACCTTTTTAAAGAGACATACCAGCACTGTAAGAAATCTTTCATATCAAAATTAGAAAAAAAAAAAGAATAAAAACATAGACTCAAGGGAGAAAAGCACTTGGTTTCACAAAGGGAGAAGTGCCAATACCTCAAGGATGGAACAACCCTTCCAGGAACACTCCTCACTGAAAGCAGGAGACATGCTAATCCACGAGGAAACATATCACTGCATACACCTTAATTGACTGCTGAGCCCTTTAACAAATTCCATGTTAAAAGGAAAGAATTGCTGTCCTAACACAATCTGTGTAAATCTGTCACATAATAGCCATTGAAAGGATGTGCAGTGAAACCGAATGTGAAACTATGATTAATATTAGCCAGAAGTTACTGTAATTAGGAGGAAATGGACATCTATATAAGGCTGATTATTGCAGATTCTGAAGACGTCAGAAACTGATTATCTTTGAAATATCTCTGATGAACAAAGAGGTGCTACTATACAGTTTTATGGATACTGAAATAGAGCAGGCAATTAATTGGTGGCAAAGTAGAAACAGAATTTGAGTTTCCTAGACTTTTGGATACTGTGCAGAGCACTAGATAATATTCCCTCTAAAATAGTTGAACATGTACATCAAGGAAACTAGGACTCTAGCTACTCACAAGCTTAATTTAAAATCGTGTCAATAACCTATAAAGTATGCACATATTAAAACAGAAACTGATATACTTCCAGCCAATTCTGATTCCACAAGTATAGTTCTACATGTTATTCTGAAAGAAAACCAGAACAAAAACATGGCTCTTCAGTAATGATATCAAGCAATGAGCAAAAACTTGAAGATAACGTGCACTGAACAACTGATCTACGAGAAAGAAAGTTTGGAAAGCAACAAATAAGAAGCCAAGATTAAGTATTATTTGGGAAAAAATATTAACAGCATGCAAAACATAAATCCTGTATTACTGAAATTGGCAGACCAGAGTAGAATTTTCAAAGGATGTTGACTCCTTTGAAAACCCTTTTACTTGGTAAAAACACTACACATTAGTAATTAACAACATGACAACTAAGTAATAGATGACAGCATTGCCATTTAGCAACAGTGTATGCACAAGATATTTCTTTATTTGCTTGGTCAATGCCGAAGAAGATTTTTAAAATTCTATTTATATTAAAGACCCTAGGACTCAAATTCTACTGATATTTAAGCCGATTGGATTTTTATGCTTAAATTAAATCATGTACATGATCTATTCCATGTTTGGCATTTAAAGGGATTTTATATGGTTACACTTCACATATTTGACTTGAGATTCAACTGTTGCAAAGAAGTGGCAAAACTACTGATCACACACTTCACTCAGAAGCTCAACTATACCAAGCACAAAAAACAAGTACTTCTTGTAACTGAAGAGAAAAAGCAGCATGCAAAATTTTCTCTGGCAAAGCTGGAATTGTCAGAAGTGAAAAATCCATAGTAACACGGTTTTTCTTTGCAGGATGAGAATTTTCTTCTTCTTCTCCATTAGAGTGCATAGCATGAGCAGAGTGCCTTCTGAGAAGCTTCTCTCTCTGCCACACGAAGGCATGTCAGAGTCAAGGGGAAAAAGTTAACATGTTGTGTCTCGCACAACAAGATCTAAGAAAATGAAATGTGGTCAGTATCAACACAAGCTCTAGAAAGACATGACTGAATACCTCATAGCTACTGTAGCCAGAGCTCCTAATTTGTAACAGCTTTAAAGTGAAACAGTTTAGAAAAGCCAAACTAGTATAAAACAAATCACCCAGGAGAAAGCACAGCAACTGGTTTTTCAACATTTTTAAAATGCTACGTATGTTACATATAGAACAGGATGGAGTGAAGGTCTCCACAAAATCAAAGCAGCTGTCCTAACTAGAATTCAGTTCTCTAAAGCGAAATTCAATACACTTCGTCTAGTGCCTTTCTCTAGCAAAGGAAACAACAACTGCTTGCTTGTGTCTCTACATTGAAAATCTGTTTGTATTTTCTGCAAAACAGCTTAATAAACGCAATGCAAAAAAGTGTTGATATTATAATTATTTTGCAAATGAAAAACTTATGTAAAATACTGCTCTACAGTTATTCTAGAAAGCCCATTCCCAATAGAGATTAGAGAAGTTAACTCCTATGAGAACTAAGATGAAATTTTAGGAATACACTTTGAGAACTCTATTTTGGTTTTTTTTTGCTTTTTTTTGTTTTTTTTTTCTCACCTTGTCAAGAGAATTGCTCTTTTCACTGTGTCTTTCTGGGAGACTGTTTCCCGAGTCTGTACTTATAAGAGAGCCTCTTGAGTCAGCGTTCCTCACACTATTAATATTTGGAGTTGATGTAGTATAAGGGGAAGCTAAAAAAAAAAAACCAAAACAATATCAAAATCTCAAACAATACATGTACAGAAAAAAGTCACTCCATAGGTTAGTGAGACTTCTAAAACCACCACATATATATATATATTTTTTAAGAAAGCAAATAATCAGTTCAATTCAGTTACTTTTGATGAAGACAAACATTTTAGAGTTTCAGCAAAGTGTAAGTAATACATACCAACACAGACTTACATACAACTACATATACACATGTAAAAAAACATATGGAGCAACACATATACACTTACACGAAGAAGCAGGTATATTTAAAAAATTCCTCTTCCCAATTTTTAATCTCTTTTTTTTTTTTTTTAATTGACTAGTAAGTGACACAACTAATTACAGCAGACAACAACAAATAGCAACACACATTAAGACAACAGGAGGACGCTCACAGGTGTGCACAAACAGCACTCCACTTTAGCGTGGTCTCTAACACAATGCACAAAATCACAGATTATGGCTTTGTAGCCATAAGTGACTAAGGGTAGTCTTGTCTCCTACTTCTCTGAAGCAAAACAAGAACTATCACCTTTGATGGATGAAAAAGCAGCTCTTCCCAGGAAATAGCTTTAGTTTCAAATAGAAAAGCAAAACCAAAAAGATCCCCAAAGAAAGATTTCATGTACAGACTGTGAATCCTGATGCACACTGAACAGTTGATTGCATTAGGGTTCTCCTAATGAAAGAAGCAGTAACATTCAAGTATCTATGCAGAAAGCAACTAAACTTGGACACAGAACAATTATTTCTGGTAACAAATCAAGCAGGAAACTGGTTCCTTTTTAAGTTTTTTATTTTATTTTTTAAGTGCTTACCAATGCCAGAGATAACGCCAAAAAGATCTTTAGGAAGATTGTTATCCAATGTGTTTCCTGATTTTTGTGGTGTTACTAGCTGACTTGCAGTTGGCAAATAAAGTGTATCATCCTTTGCACTCTGTTTGGAAAAGAGAAGAAAATGTGATTATTGTTTTCCAACACTATGGACCTAGCTAATATGACATACTTTATCTTCTAGAGCAGTCCTTGTTATAGATTTCTTTCTTAAATTTTAATTTATATTAAATATGCTCACAAAAGCATGGAATGAGGTGTTCAGGTATTTGCACAAACTTGGGATAGCCTAAAACTTAAGATACCTCAGGAAACATAGAAGAAAAGAATATTCCATTGAATTTTAAGCACTATAAACCAGATATTTCCAAAAGACACAAATTACTTTTATTTTAAACACCCAAACATTTCTCTGTTGGAAGGATATTGTGAATTCCTTTCTTAATACCAATGGAACACAGCAAGATATGGACAAAAATAAAATGCACTGATAATTAAATCTTAGATTATCAATATATATCAATAACATAATTATATTGATATAATATACAATATACATCTTCACAAATTCCATTTGAATTCATTCTCCTGTAGTCCCCTTACACTACAGCTGTTCCAAAAGCACACACCTTTAAGGTTAAAAATTCTTTAATTTCTAGAAAATTAACCATTTTTTTCTTGTGGTCCATTTATTTCAATGTCGGAAATTAACTGAAATATAAAATTTCAAAAATTCAATCTATCACCAATATATGATCTTTTCTTCTGAACAGCGACAGTAACTACTGAATCTGTTGGGATTTTAGTGAACATAACTAATTCTTTATGTTTTAGGTAACAGAGGAGTACCCTCTTACATAAAGGGTGCAAGTGCCTCCAATGCCAGGATCTACAAGAATAGAGGCAAACTGTTTATACAAACTGGCAGGCAGACCAAAGAGAAGTGCAATTTTTGAGTGAAAAACAGAGACAATTTAATGAAAACTCCTCTCACAGAAATTGTAACAAAACTGGGTAATAGATACAAACAGAAGGCCATTACGTTGTAGAAACAACTGATACTTTTTTTTTTTTTTTCAAATATACTGTTCCTTCAGCTTCTTTGGCTGCTCTTCTTAGAACACTCGAAAAGATGCAGTAGGTCCAGTCCTGTGTGGTCTATTGTTCGTATTGAAATATAGGCACATGCATCAGAGATATCAAAAAAGCAAGATGTTACATGGCAGTATAGGCATTATAGGTATAGTATATATATGGCTTTAGAATGATGCTGTGGCAATCTATGTGGCCTAGCATTGAACAAAAATCTTCAGAGGTTCAAGCAGAGATCAATAAGGGTGCTGTAACCTGTATATAGGACCAAACTAGCCAATTATCATGTTAGGCATAACTTAGCTGGACAAGAGAAACTGCTTCCAAAACCATAAAGGTTAATTAAGCTTTTAAACTCAGAAAAAGCAAGAAGAACAAACTTGCAGGATTCTGAGGCTTATGAAATCCTGTTTGCCAGAAGCATGCAGTGTTTCATATACATGTTACCAGTAAATCATGACAAAAATAACTCAGAATACCAAATAGGTCACTCACATTGCTGGAAGGGTTAACAGGAAATGGAGACACATCTTTCACATTGATTCGCTGAACATTTTCTATGAGCAGTCCAAAGAGTGGCAAATACATAGTGGCTATTCTTGCTTGATGGCTCTAGATAGAGTTTCATTAACAAATTAACATTAACAAAAAACAGTTCATTAACAAATTACATATTTAATTTTTAATTACCAAGTTTTTTAAGCTATTCATACCTAAATGATAAAAAAGAGCATTTAAGAAATATTTGCCAAACCAGAGCCCACATCCACAAGTTCATAAAGACCAAAAGAAGCAATCATCACTATATTTCATTCTAATTTACAGGAGGCCAGTAAATTTTATTTACTGCTGCAATATAATGTAGAAAAAACCTAAATTAATGTGATCTTAGCCAAGAATAAGTAAATTGATATTATGTTAGCTTGATAAATTAATTATGTCTTCTATTAAAATTTTAGCACAGCACAGCTTATGCTAAAAAACAAAAGTCAGGAAAATTAAAAATAACTCAAAATTTACTACCATGACCTTTAGCTTTCTTATACTCATTTTACAAAGAAGATATGATGGAAGGACAGCTGCCAAATATTAGGAGCTAATGTTTAACGAAAAAAGAGCCTTTAAAAACATTCATAAAAATCTGTTTAAGAATAGGAATGAGATTACACTGTGCTAAAGTGTAACAAACACATGTAATTATGTTGAAAGGTGCTTTGTGCTTTCATTTGGTAAAAATAGGGAATTTGCAGACTGATTTTGATACAATTTTGATACATATTTTCATCATAGCCTAAATAGAAGCAGCATTGCTGCAAATTAACAAGTTTTTTGTGAAAGAAAAAAAACTTTCTCTATGTGTGCACACTTTATTATGTTGTACTACTAGCACAGCAATACACTTACCCTGGAAGCATATCTATCATCAAAAGAATGCTTTATCATCAAATTCTTGAGCACACTAATAGCAATCTGCCGCACATCTCTGAACTCTTGTAATGCATTGCCCACCTCCCTTAGAAGCAGTCCAACTAAGAAGTGATTTTTACAGAACTCATCAGTTAATGAATAGTCCAGGTGAAGGTCTGGAAGCAAAGTACAAGTTCTGTGTAAGGAATGGTATTATTTAAATCAATTTATCCATTAACTTAAGGCTGTACTAAAATGTTTCCAACGTTATTGACAAATTCATGTATATAATATATAATCACAGTTATTAATATATCCAGAGTTCAATTCACTGCATAATGATGCATTTATTAAACAATGATACACATTCAATCAACAGAATATGGAGAAATCTAAATACGTTATTTAAGAAAAATATTTTTAATACTGAATTCAAAAGTGTTGCTGTGAAATTTACCTTGACCAGCATCTTACAGCTCCAAATTCAAATTTTAAATCTATATTCAGGTACTAAAAACACACGTAGTGCACAAAGGTTGTGCACATTCTATCTTTCAGGAATTTAGTTGTATGGTAGAAGCAGAATTTAATTCTTAGTCTGTGGTTCTGTCCCAGGTTACTAAATTTGAAGGACTGCAAGCAAAACATGGATTAAGAAGTTTTAGATTTTGGTACTGCAGTTTTAAGTTCCTTCTTCATTATCTCATACGTATCTATTATTAATATAGACTATAAAGCCTGCTAACAACTGCCATATTGGTTAACTGATATTCTCTAAGAAAATGGTCCCAAAAATTTGCAGTGTAGTAGAAGTGTCATGAAGAGTCTGCATTTGCAACACGCATGTCCAAATTAAGCAATTTCTTCTCAATATATCAGAACACAAAAGGACACAATATTTAAACACAGTAACTTAATCTACGGAAATTAGAACAGCATTATAATACAGTAGGCAATTTTTCTGCTACAATTAAACAATACTGTATTTTCCAAAAATGCTTATATATTTTGTTTTAATTGCAATACAATTGTAATTAAAGAACATTTTATTTGAACATTTGTGCTTAAAACACCGCAATGCAATTTTATTTCATAAAGTATTTCTAGTAGTAACTAACTGTAAGTCTATATTAAGCCCCATATAGGTATATAGATATTATATAGACACATACACACACACACACACACACAAACCCAGCACATCTGACACAGCAAAGTCAAACTGCTCCCCTTTAGAAGTATATTTTGGGTAATAAAATAATCCTGCTCATTTATGTACTGAATATATGACACATTAAGATAACCTTTAGCTTGAAGATCTTATTTATTAAATGTGTATATGTTTAAAATTTCAGCTGAGGAGGTGTTCAAGAGTTTCTCACATTTACTGTCATTGTTCAACACAGTAATAAAAAAACGGATGTTTCATTTTTTAAAGAACTCTGTCAGTAAGGGTTTCCATTCAGTCAGAAAGAAACATAAATAAAACAGCACAGACGTTCTACAGGCCTTCTTGTAACTCACTCGAGAGCCAAACACGTCACCCAAGATCTCTTTTGCTTGAGACAGCAAAACAGAGCCAGAAACACTTCTGCTAAAGGCCTTATTTCTTGGCCAAACTCCTAGTTCACCAGGGAGCAGCATTTTACACTGTTCTTCATTGTGTAATCAGAAACACTATTTTCTCTAGTTTTGCTCTTTTCATAGGGTCATTAAACCAACAACTCATTGTCCCTTTTCTAGGGAAATATTTATGAGGCGTTATTATCCAAGACACTTCCAAAGGCTGAAAAAGCCAAAGAGAGAAACAAGTTTTACGAAGCTGTCCAGCTCTTAGTCCCAAATCTTGTTCTACCACCGTGATGAAAACGTTAATTACACGCAACTTTACTAAGTCAGCAGTCTACTGAATAAATATTTCATAAAAAAATAACCTAATCTACAAAAATACAAATGTTAGGCAGGTTTACTTGCCACTTGTAAAGACACCCTCCTTGCATCTGCTTATTGATGTCTGCTATAGTTCAATGCCTGAAAGAAATTAATAATATCTTCATAGCCACAAATGGAACGGCTAATGTACTACTAGTTTTGGCACAAGGCTACATGTACCAGGAGCCCAGCTGGGCTAAACAGGTCATTAATGACCTAGCTCCAGTACGAAAAAAAAAAAAAGATGCACATGAGGTGGCAGCAAGAACAAGCTACAGAAGAGGAATATAGAAGCATTGACCAAGTATGCAGGGATAGTGTCAGGAAAGCCAAAGCTCAGCTACAGCTGAAACTGATAACGGACATCGATGTCAACAAGAACATAATCTAACACTACATTAGCATTAAAAGCCTGAATAATGAAAACATGGGATATTTGCTGAATAGGGACTGTGATTTAGACACAGAGGACTTAGGCAAGGCTGAAGAACTCCGTATCTTTGTTACCTACCATTCACTGCCATGGCTCCCAGGCCTTAAGAGTCTAGAGACTAGCTTCGGGAAAGAGATTTATCAGCAGTGGATGAGGATCAGGGCAGGGATCTCCTGAGACACCTCCAGTCATGCAAACCCACAGCACCAGATGAGATGCTGAGAGCGTTAGCTAGTACAATTGGAAGAACACTCACTATCACCTTTGTTAAGCCATGATGATCAGGATCTCCCATAACCGGGACCCTGTGATGACTGAAGGTAGACATTGCATACATCTTCAAAAAAGGGCAAGAATAACTCAGAGAACTACAGGCATCACTTTAGTCCTTGGAAAAGTCATGGAGCAAGTCCTCTTGGAAGCCATTTCTCAGCAAGTGAAGAAGAGTGTGACTGGGAATGGCCAAGATAGATTTACCCAGAGTAAACCATGCTTGACTAACCTGTCTTCTACAACGAACACACTAGACCTGTGGATAAGGGGACAATAGTAGATATCCACATGGTCCTTGCATCCAAACTGGTGAACAGACACCTGTATGTGCAGAAGAACTAGGTGGATCATTGGGCTCAAAGGCTAGTGGTTAACAGTTTGTACTCTACTTGGAGACCAGCTACAAGAGGAGTTTCTCAGGGTCTATCCTACTTAATACTACTTCATCAATGACCTGAAAAAGGAGATGGAGAGCAACCTCATCAAGTTTGTGGACAGGGTACAGCCCATATGCTCAAGGGCTGCTCTACATTTCAGAACAATTTCGATTATACAGGAATGGATCAACAGAAACATCAATTAAATTCAACAAGGACAAACGAAAACTTCTGCACCTGGGATGAACAAACTTCCTGCAATGCTACCAGCTGTGGAATGACTAGCTTGGGAGCAGCTCTGCTTAAAACCACGTAGGGGTCCAGGTGGACAGTAGCTTCAACAGGCATTAGCATGGCATCCTGGCAACAATGAAGATTAACAGCATACTGGGCTGTATCAGTAGGATCATAGCCAGTACATATCAAGGGAAGTGTTCATTCTCCTTTACTTGGTGTTTGTTAGACATATCTGTAATACCATGCATACATAGTATTTGGGCCTTCTAGGACAAGAAGGTTCTTGAGTGAGTTCAGCAAAGGACCACCAAGGTGGTTAGAGGGCTGGAGCACATGTCCTACCAGGAGGAATTGAGGGAACTGAGCTTGTTCCATCTGAAGAACGGAAGGCCTGAGGTGATCTGAGCAGGAGGTTGGACTACAGACCTACTGAGGTCCCTTTTAACCTGAATGGGTGTATGAAAAAAAGTAGAAAGTACACCAAGCCTCACACTGCTCACCTACCTACCAGAGTGTTGCAGGCTTCCACAGCTAGTGATCTAAAAGCTAATTCTTTAAAAAAAAAAGCAAACTTAATAATCATAGCAGAAAAGAGAAGCAAAGTCAAGGATGTAGTTTACCATATCTTTCAATGACTAGATACTTTGGATAGGTTACTCTGCTACCTAAACTATTCCTTTGAGTTTAAATGAAAGGATTACAACTCTAGGCTTCCATTTAACAATTTCAAGGTTTCCAACATCTCATAGACGTGAAGTTACACAGTCTCCACATCTAATAATAAAAAGGTGACATCTAAGAAATATAGTATACAGTTATTTGGAAGAATTTACCTTGGTATCTCTGAACTCTGCCTTTTCCAAATGGCATTGGTAGATTCAAAGGTATGTAGTGCTCATGATTACAGACAACACGGAGAAATTCAAATTTGAATTCAAAAAGAGTCTGGAAAAATAATTTTAAAGTATAAATTAAACAACTGATGCAGTGATTTGAATAACACATTAAAACCAGTTTTCTACAACAAAAGGGTGGTTTCTCTCAGTCTTGTAGTATGAGGGATACAGACCTGTCAAAGTTCCACATGTCAGCATAAAATAATTTCAGTATAATTCATACTTGACAACTGGATGTAGTTCTATTTATTGTTCCCATTGTCCAAAGTTATTTAAGTTTACTAGCATGTTATATATTGATGTAAGAAAAGTTTGGACCCACAGAAGAACTTCTTTGGACATCTGGTACATGCTTTCATCACTACAGTAAATGTACAGAAACTTATCAGATATCAACTCTTCCAACTTCAGCCTCTCTCACATTTATGCTTAAAATTCCTGCTTAGTGTTGCATCCGCACTCTCCATCACTTTTGCAATACACACGCTCTAGGGAAGATGGGAATAAAAATATGAAAAACAGATTTGATGGAAAAAAAAATGCTCTATGCACAGTGCAGGGACTTCTATCGTAACTGGGAAGAAGTCTGAAGACTTAATGCAGGACTATCCACATGCATCAAGAGGAGGCAACTCCTAAATATAGTTTGTTTAAAAACACTGAGTACCTTTGGATCTCCTGGGGCAAAGCAGCTGATGTAGTTATTGATTTGCTTGAAAACAAAGCCTCTATCCATAAAAGTAAAACACCTCTGTGGAAAACAAGAAAAACCAAGATAGATTTGCTTTAGTACTGTCTCAGTGCTCAGTAATTATATTTCTGTATTTAATAAGCTTATTTTCCAAACACATTACTGATATTTCAGTTTGAATATAAAAACCAATAAAACAAGCAAATTAAATATATGTATACATATATGGATAACAAGTTTTTCCCTTTGAGTGCAGAATGTAAACAAATTGCAAATAAAAAGCAGTTTGAAGAGAAGAACACTATCTAGACAGAAACAAAAATGATATGCCACTAGCAGCTTCATCTACCATTTTATTTCCCATCCTTTTTTTTCCCTACTGGATCTTATTGTCTGAAAAAGAAGACCCTGAAAGTCCCTCTACATAAAATGCATGCAAATAAAACACTACTCAATGTATGAAGCTTCTGTAAGATCAGAAGGTAATCTAGATTCTATTTTTTAAAAAAATACATTTTGGATAAAATATAAATTCATTTAAAAAATCAAACTTTTGAACAGATGTCTACTTGACTACAGAAGATGCAAATTATACTTCGATGCATTTTAACTTGAACATAGAATTATATTTAAAAAGCACTATGCATATTCAGTTTTATATGAGTTGACTTTAAGATACTTTAAAACCCATGAAGAAGCAGTATTATTGAAAAAGTAACCACACAGCCCAAGTCACTTGTGTACCTACTTTTATAAAGGCAGCAAGGCTATGGTTTGCATTTTTTGAAGCCTCTGGATTGTCTCTGTACTTCTGAGTGATGTGTGGCATTAGCATATTAACAACTGTTTCAACTGCATGATGAAAGGAAGCAGAAAATCTCTGGTTTCGCAACAGCTAGAAATAAATTCAGATACAATATTGAATATGGTTTATAACACTAAAATATATCAGCAAATTTACTTTAGATAAGATATAGATAACCGGACAGGGAGAGAGGAGACAAAGTTTTAAAATTTTCTCATTTGTCATTTCAAGTAAAATTTTGTTTCAATTCAAGATTTTCCTGAACTTTCTACACTGAGGGGGGGAAAAGAAGCATTTGCTTACAAGATAATATTACAACATACACTAACATCTGTTATTAAAATTCAAGCGAGTCTCGACAAAAAAACATGGATAACGGTTTGTAAGTGTAATACATTAATATTTTTCTATACTACAATAAATTTGACGACAGAAACTAAGAATTAAAAAGAATCCTTTAATTTTATCTATCTTACTTTCCAAAGCAGACACCAGCTGGTTCACACATAGTAACTGCATTATCAGACTCTCTTTTCTGTCTTGAAAAAAAACAAAACAAAACCTTTTTTGCTGTTGTGCAACTATCTTTGTAAAAACTCCTTTCCCTTTTGCCATTGTGGAAATTCTCATCCATGCTTCTTTGTTTCTCTTGCTCATCTGCAACTTCAAATCTCAGCTCTTCCAGGCTTCAGAATCTTACTCTCCATATTTTTAAGTTTTCACAATCAGAACTGTCTTCCCTCACTTTTAGGTAGTTTGCCAATTAGCTTAAAAGATTTCCTCTACGTTCACAATTTTCTCCTTTCCACTCACCATCTATATTATCTTCATCAATGATTTTGTGCATTCTGATAAGTATTGGTCAGTAAGTTCTCTTCAGCTTTTTGGCACTACAGAGCCTCTTTCAGGTCTCTACATCTTACAATCTTTAATAAAGATTCTGTGTTTTGTCTGAAGGAACTTAATGACAGGTGGCGTGAGGCTGAAGAAGTTGACATTGACAAAAACTGTTCCAAATGTACAGTCATTGTGTCTTTTCTTTCTGAAAACTGAAAGTGAAACATCCAAGTGCTCTGAATACTTTGTTATTTAAATATTTTTTTGAACTATATTGAATGCAACTTCCTATGCAGAACAAATCATTCTCAAGGCCCTGCATAAATCGATGATTAAACAATTTGCTTCCTTTTTGTTTGAACTGTGCTCCAAAGTCTCTAGTTCTATATTTTAAAAAAAGACATTAAGGTTAAAAAGATCCCTGTATAAATATCAACAGTACTCATTAATGACATAACAATTAAAAATTCTTTTGGTGGGTATGCCAAGCAGTGTTCTACGATATTCTTGTAACTCAGTCTTTGTTGGAAAATAATTAAATATTTTTAAAAATACTACCAAATTCTTGCTACAGAAATAATTCTGATGCACCCAGAAATGCATCTTTTTATCAGATTTCATAAGTAGGAAATATCTGAATGCACGTTCCATTTATTATTTTACCCAGCAAGACAAAAAACCTAGCAAAATAATTTATTTGATATTTAAGGGGCTTCTAAATCAAGAGGCAATGTTCAGGAATGAGGATACATGCAAACAAGAGGTGAGTTCTGCTCCTTTTTCACAGGGAAGATGACAATGAGGTTAGTTCTAAACATGGAAACATCTTTTAACATGAAATGTGGAGACAACAACAAAAATATGTTATAAAAAGTTACCCCAGCAGTTTATAAGCTATGAGCCTTCATGTTATTGCAGGGGAAGAATGAGAAAGAACAGCAGTTCAAAGTGATACACAGCAAAGTATTAGAATCTAAAGGTGCGTGTTAAAATAATTTGTTCCCTTTGTGCAACTGAACAGTTCATATTTCAGGGTTGCTTTTGAAGATACTGTTAAAAAAACCACAAAATATTAACCTGAAACAAATGGGGTTCCTATACAACAGGTATACCTAGCATGCAGAATACACTATTGAGTAGAACATCAACAGAAACCAGACAGTTCTTTTCCAGTATCAAGCTTAGATGTTTGGGGATGGGGTCTTTTGTTTGGTTGGGGTTTATTTTCATCTTCAGGTAGACTTACTGCATACTTCTACACCTGTAAGTCCTAAGAAAAAATGTGGCAACATTTTGGTAGTGTCAATGTTGCATAATAAAATCTGTGTATGAGCCATTATAATCTTGGAAAGATTTATGGCTACAGAACCTACTTAATCTATAAAAAAACCTCACAGTGCATCCTTACTTTCTGAAATAAAATGGGGTCTCTTATAGAATTAAAAGTGCCATCAGTATTTAAATCACTTTTTTTGGTTTATCTACTTCTTTCTGGCAACTTGGAATCATAAAGAGCAACTAGCAACTAGTACTTCATTTGAAAAGAGTCATGTTCTTTCCATGCTCAATATTTTCTCAGCCCACCTTTAACAAAACGTGTGCTTACAATTATGCTGTTAGAGGTAGAGCAAACACTCATTAAAATGAAATTAGATACATTTTTAGCCTACCTAAAGAATTTTGTAGGGCAGAAAGATTACTTAAAATGAAGAAGACTTTTTCAGAATTTATATGATCATATAACCCCACGTAATAAGACAAAATTTGATGCAACAAGTTGTAAAAGATCACTTAAAGAAGGGTCATCATTCCTAGACCAATCTTCAGAAATATAAACATACACTGAATTGTTTTCTGCCTAAATCTTTTGGTGTATTTTAAGGAAAATAATCAGTGTCTTCTCTTATAGTTACTTAGGTCACTTAGACATCAAAAAGATGGAGGTCTTGCTGAGTAATAGTAATGGCTATGCCTACCCCAATTCACACCATAATTCCAAAACACCAGGTAATCAAATCAGTCTCAGTCATCTGTAACTGACACACTGTTCCTTTACTAACTTTGTTTTCCCTAAAGTGAAAGTCCTGTTAAATTGAATTTGTTCCTTAGACAAACGTGCTGGTGATCTTGAAATCTAATTTATTATTAGGATTACATGGGTCAGTGAAGACACATTAGCTTTGAACAAATGAGTCAGTATAGCATTTGGGGAGGAAAGAAATAATAACAAATTTTTAAAAATACCAAAAACTAGTAGTAATGTGAATGCTCATCAATGGTAGTATATCATACTACACAGACACTGGTGGAGTCATTCTGAAAAGTAAATTGTTTTTTGTTTGTTTACACAGATTCCTGCTTTAAAGAGAGATTATATTCTACTATATTTATTTTATCCACCATCTGATCTCAATTTGAAAATGTAATCCCTATTGTAAGGAAGTTACAATTAAATTACGGAAATGGCTTTGCATGACAGCAAGTTAGTGGTTTCTTTGAAGTTTTTTAAACCAATATGCTGTTTCCAAACTTGTGAGGACTTCTATAGGTTTGCTAAAATCAGGAAAGGTTATACAAACTTTGTTTAGCCAAGCAAAACCAGCATGTTGCTGTTTTTCAGAGTATCACCTACCAAATCCAACAGAAAACGTCCTCAAGACATGCAAGTTTCATGCACACTATGTTTTGAAAACCTTGCCCACATTCTGTAATTAGAAAAACTGTATCCTTCTCACAGAGCTGAATACTGCAATATAAAAAGTACTGCCAGTGCTGTCAGGTAAGTACCGAAACCAACAAAAATTATTATTTTATTTTTTTTTCTTCAACATACTTTTTAAATTATAAAGTTCTAATTCAGTTTCAGGAGTCTCCAGAAAATTTCAGCTTTGAATAAGAAGCAGTGTTTTCTGTATTATAAGATTATACTTTCATTTAAGTTGAACTGATTAATTAAATTAATACAATTAATTTAGCTGATTGTAACAAGCTCAAAATAGTGGGGTGAAATAAGAAATACTCCTTTCACAGAGTGAGCAGAAGCACAAACTGCTTCCTCAAGGAATATCAAATCAGTAACAGAAATTTAAGGTTAAAGACCCTGAATTATTTGAACAGATACTATGAAACAGAACAAAAAGTGAAGAACAGAACAAAAAGTGAAGAACAGAAAAATGTCCATATGAATATTTTTCTTACTTTGGCTTGAATTAACAGTATTTCTATTGATTAGTGGTAGAAAAAGTTGCCTTTCCTCTTTGCTAGAAATTTTGAGGAATTACCAAACATCTGATCAGTTGAAACGAACAAGAAGTTTGACATCTTAAATGCAAAAAGATGTTTTACACCACATGGACAGCAAACTCATCAAGTGTATATTTGCATTCTAAAAACTCCTAAACAAATGGTAGCTGTCACACTTCCCTAGACAGTTTTAAAAGTTAGTGATAAAAGCTTGCCTTCTTCCACGCTTCAGAAGATACTTAAATCTGTAGTACCAGTACCAAGTAAATACTCAGCTTCCTACTGCTCCCTTAAGCTAAAGGCCTGTTTCTAGATTAAACAGATTACAAACACCAGGTAAAATTTTACGTCTGTATACAACTTTTTTTTTGCAAGTTGACGACATACCTTCACTTTAGAGTTTTCTATCAAATGCTGAGCCATTGATTTTATCAGAACTTCAAAGAAAAACCATGAATACTGCAGAGAAAAGAAAACATTCTGTAAAATTGCCACACGCATTCAACAACTATTTCAATACACCTAGTTCCTATTCTTCAGTTATGACCAGATAAGAACATACAGTAAAAAATACAGTTCAATATATACCTTAAGTAGCTTGTTGCTTGTGAGAAAGTCAGCAGAGGGCTTTAAAATTGTTGTCATGGACTTCGTCAGTTCTTCATGTACTGTCTTATATTCAGAAGCAACATAGGGCTCAGCTTTATAAGCATACTTGGGGAGAAAAACCAGAATATAATATGAAACTATGACATAATATGAAATAATTGAGATTAAACAGATGCAAAGAGATTTAAATATACTCTTTTTAGAGAAATAAGAAAAGGAGCTATTTAATTTACTTTTACCTACCTTGACATAAGATCTCAGGTAGCTATCCAACCCTTCTTCATGACACTGAGCAACAATATGGATAATAACCCTAAAGAGAAGTCAGACACCAAGTAAGCCTACAAAGAAAGCTATCATTGCAATAGCAAAAATGCTACTCAGTTACAGATCTATGTGATAACCTAGTCATCACTTAAACTCTAGGAAGCACTTAAAATTCTTTACCTTGTCACATTAACTGCAACTTCCTCTTGAGTTGCTCTAGTGAGGACTCTAAACAACTGGTTTAGAACAGTCGGCAGGAAAGCTATCATCACATGGCCTTCCATAGCATGAAGGCTCTAGAAGAAAGCAGTAATACTGTCACTCCCTTGAAACAATGGCATTTAAATCACAAATTCTGAAATGATAAAACTTACTGCAAGTCTTTTCCCAAAAATACACCCTGCTTGCATTATTTGGTGTTAATTACCTGAAGTACTGCAGGAAAGCAATTAAGAATAGTTTCCAATATAAATATTTGGTAAATATTTTCTACACTAAGGTAAATAAGGGATAAAAATTAGGTTTTATTAAAATCATTTCAGAAGTTGTTATTCATATTTTTTCCACTGAAATGCATACTAGGTGATGTTTCAATTAAAAGACCACCTGCGTACACCACAGCAAGCTGACACTGATGCTCTGGTATACTTTGCTATTTCATTCACCAATGCAGATATTTATCAAACAGAAGCTCCACAAAAACATACAAATTGCTCACCTGTGATAAATGCAATACTAGTTACACTAGTTATTGCAAAACAATAAACTCATATGATAAAAACCAGAATGAACTAAAATCCCTAACTACCTAATGTTGGAAATTGGAGACAATGAATCACTAACCACTCAACTTCTTCATGATGTGCCTTTGCATTCCATCACGTGCAAAAGATATTCTAGACATAAGAACCCCGACATAAAAGGCAGTGTGTGGCACTATATCCCACATTGTTTTATGCCACAAAATTCCCTGCAGTTACAGGGAGTTTGACACACACACACACACACATATACACACACACAAAAAGTGTATATTTGCTGAACATGCAACAGCTAGTAGAACAAGGAGCTAGCTGTCTTGTCTTTGAACGTTTGTCTCTAGGCACAGTCACATTACTTCCTTCCTATGTGATCTGTGATTTTTCTTGGAAACAGCATTCATATGCTACATCATCTTTTCTATAAGCCCTGAATATCAGAGCATTGGGTAAACATGCAAATGGAACTTCAGCTCACACGTTTGTCCAGGATGCAGACATTTTTTTGTCAGGGTGCTGTTTTAAGTAGGGCTCTGAAGTGGACTTGTAACCCAACTTGAGATGCCTTTCAGTATTGAATTACACTTAGACTGCCAGAAATAGCTGTGCCTTTTGATGTCTCAGGCAGCAATGGAGGTAACTACAAGCAGATACCTCAACATATGAGAATGCTAAGTGATGTTTGGGCTCATGAAACATGAAGGAGAGCACACAAGCGTCTTGAGTCCAAGCTCAAGAACGGAACATCCCAATGGGTAGGAAGTTGAGAAAGGGTGCTAGGAGAGCTGCATAGTTAAACAAGGATCTGCTGGGCAAACTCAAGTGCAAGAGAAGAGTCTACAGGTCATGGAAGGGAGGGGCTGGCCACTTGGGAGGAATA